AAACAGCTTTCTGAATGCAGAAACAGCTTTCAGTATTTACTGAACATGAAACATAATAATCAAAACTAGAAAATTCCTGCAGAAATTTTAAGGGGCCTGCCACCTGTGCCCATCCCTTTAAACCCAGCATTTCAAATTTGTCATGAAAAATAGATATAAGCAGGTCTGACATACTTAAACTAACACTAGCACAGAGTAGCTGTGAATATTGTCAGGTATATTATGATATATGGATCACCATTTAAAAGCGAGACCGACGACTATAAGCTTCGCACATGTGGTTCTCACTCATGGTCCAAAATAAAAAACATGAAGAAAGTTGGTAATAGTTCATTTCTAAAAAACAATTTCAATTTTCATAGTAAAGATTTTAATTTACACTCAAAAATTCAGACAAGTAATAATTTTATGTAAGCAAAACATGAATAGTCAAAGGAAATATGTTTTCTTCCCACAATGCATTGTGAGATCTGATTCAGCGCTGTGACTACTCACTGCCTCTGTCTAGGACCCGTTGCTATGGTAATTAATGATCTGCACCTGGGCTGGCTCTCTCTGTCAGACAAGCTGCAGGTTTCTATACTTGTGAGACACCCAGCGTCGGTCTCAGGGCCCTCACAAAAAACCATAAGCCCCAGGAAAATTTTGAAAACATTTTACGGGAGCAGGCATGTGTATCTATGTCATGACCAACTTTGAGATCAATAGGCCAATATTTGTGCCTGTGAGGGGGAGTTAAACAGAGTTTTGGAGTCAGACCTCCACTGTCCTGTGTGTGCGTGTTTCAGAGAGAAATCTTAGTGATGCTGTGAGTTCCTCAGATTAAAGTTTTTTCGTTTTTTTTAATTTATGTCGTCATTTTATCTCAGAATCCCACTAAAAGTAATAGCTCACTTGCCGGGATCGAGCCGCTCGTTTTGATACCACTTTTGTGGGTGTACACGCAGCGGTACGAGCCGCATTAACGGTAACGGAAGAATAATAAATTATATTTATAATAATAATAATAATAAAGAGGCGTTCTATTGGGTGTAGAACAATAGGTGCCTGCCATGCAATGCATGGAGGCAGTGACAGTCACTGCTCTCCCTATGCATTGCTTA